CGGGGGCCTTCTTTCTCTCTGCGGTCTTCGAAGATCAGTTGGCGGCACATAAGATGGCAAAGAAAATGGAGTTTCCTGTTGACCTAATTTAATGGGTGTTGGCACTCGCTCAGGAACAGACTCGGGCGCATTTGACACAGATGCATCGGTCGCAGGAAAATGTGCTCTAGGGACTTCCGCATTACTGCGACTGGACTGAGGAGTAGCAGGCTAATCAGGTTGATCAGTAACCGGAGTTTCCCTAGTGCTCAACAGGTCACGACGATTATGACGGCAAACGGCATCATCAGTCTTTACAAGGAAACTGCGAGGACCTGCAAACCTCACGCACGTAGCAGGTGACCACACCTTCTCAACTGGACGCCTCACACGCAGAGTGTCACCAAAGCTGATTCGCGTGCCGATCGTAGTAGCCCTTTTGGTGTTATTTTTCCTTTCGGCCAACGCACGCAGATCACCACGAAGTAACGCACGGCATCGACGTCCCGTCAAGTGCTGTGCCGGGCTGGTATCCATCCCCTCAGGAGGCGTATTTCGCCAGTCAAGTGGAGCTTCAAATTCTGACATACCGGTTTCTTTGCATTTCTCAAACAGAGGCTTCCCTGTCCGCACAGCGTTTTCGGCTTTACCATTTGACTGAGTAAAACTTAGTACAGAACGAACACTCTTCATCTTGAAAAACATGCCAGAACTCGGCGAGGAGGATGTTGAACTGGCCTAGCCGACTTATCCAGCACCATGTGATATTCACCTGCAAGAGCACCTACACCATCAGTAAAGACACGAGGAAACCTCTTAAACAGCTGGTAAGCGGAGACCTGGTCGGTTCAACTGGTCGTTGTGTAAATACGTAATAATGTTCATTCCAAGGCACGCTTTAATGACCAGAATAGGCCTAACTCTCTTGCTTTCTACCAAATTGCAGACAAGCAGACATCTGAAATCTCCACGCCATACACGCGAAGAACCTTTCCCGAGGATAGGAATTGAAGTACCACCATAGGAATAATCGCCGTATTGACAGCGGTCACATTGCGCAAATCAAAATCTTTGGTCGCCTTCTTGTACAGATGCAAAGGGACAACATTGCATTGAGCTCCTGTGTCGGGCTGAAACCAATGATAATATCCTTATTCCAACTTCAGCGTTACCAGTTGAGAATCATCTGGCGCGAGACGTGGGCTTAGGCGCGTGTCTACAACACACGTTCGCGAAATGTTTTTTCATGCCACACTTATTGCAGCTCTGTCCATAAGCCGGACAATTCTCACGCTTCACTAAACCATGCTCACGTCCGCAAAATGCACAACTATATTATTTTCCCACGCGCCAGTATTTCTCCAGCCACGACCGCGCCTACGTCTCCCTCTTTTAGCCTCTCTAGACACAGTATTCATAGTTCNTCTTTGCATTTCTCAAACAGAGGCTTCCCTGTCCGCACAGCGTTTTCGGCTTTACCATTTGACTGAGTAAAACTTAGTACAGAACGAACACTCTTCATCTTGAAAAACATGCCAGAACTCGGCGAGGAGGATGTTGAACTGGCCTAGCCGACTTATCCAGCACCATGTGATATTCACCTGCAAGAGCACCTACACCATCAGTAAAGACACGAGGAAACCTCTTAAACAGCTGGTAAGCGGAGACCTGGTCGGTTCAACTGGTCGTTGTGTAAATACGTAATAATGTTCATTCCAAGGCACGCTTTAATGACCAGAATAGGCCTAACTCTCTTGCTTTCTACCAAATTGCAGACAAGCAGACATCTGAAATCTCCACGCCATACACGCGAAGAACCTTTCCCGAGGATAGGAATTGAAGTACCACCATAGGAATAATCGCCGTATTGACAGCGGTCACATTGCGCAAATCAAAATCTTTGGTCGCCTTCTTGTACAGATGCAAAGGGACAACATTGCATTGAGCTCCTGTGTCGGGCTGAAACCAATGATAATATCCTTATTCCAACTTCAGCGTTACCAGTTGAGAATCATCTGGCGCGAGACGTGGGCTTAGGCGCGTGTCTACAACACACGTTCGCGAAATGTTTTTTCATGCCACACTTATTGCAGCTCTGTCCATAAGCCGGACAATTCTCACGCTTCACTAAACCATGCTCACGTCCGCAAAATGCACAACTATATTATTTTCCCACGCGCCAGTATTTCTCCAGCCACGACCGCGCCTACGTCTCCCTCTTTTAGCCTCTCTAGACACAGTATTCATAGTTCCCGCATCTGCAACGCTTAAACAGACATCACCGACAACCTTCATCTGCTGTACCATGGTCTCATGAGAGCGACAAATCTCGTCCGTTTTCTCTAAGGACAATTCAAATTATTTTTACGAAGAAGCCTCTCACGAACCTTTGAATCTAGAATTCCAAACTCGAGCTTGTTCCCTAAAATTTGATTCGGGGTAATTGATTCAAATTCGCACCTTTCTGCTAACTGCCGAAGAGCTGTCCGACAATGATAGTAAGACTCTCCCGATTCTTGCATTCTAGAATAAAACTTGTATTTTTCGAAAGGCACTGTTTTAAGTGGCTGGCAGTACGCTGCAAAATTTGTAACACTGGCTAAATCGGGTCGGTGTGGGTCGCCAAATCCGTAAACGTAGCAAAAACTTTTCGCGCTTCAGCCCCGATTACGGTAGGCAATGTTGCTACTTGTACGGCTTCGGGTTCCTGGTGCAACTTCATGGCAATCGAGTAATTCTTCCAAGCTTGCTCAAACTCCTTCCACTTTATTGCTGCGTTCGAAACGCAAACAAAGCACTTCTGACAGTATCTGCCAACCAATTCTACAACGCATCGGCCCCTTCGCTGCGTTCGCCTCCCGGCATCGCAAGAAAAAAAAGGAAAACACGTAGGTTCGCTACAAGATTCCTGACACCATGAAACACTTGTGGGAGAACGCTACACGAGGGAAATATACTCACTTTAATAAATCAAGAAACCTTATATATAGCCTACTTAGATATTCACATGTTATTGCCATATTATGTCACGCTAATCTTAATAACAAACAACAATTTACACTTGGCACTCGTCACACTTATTGGCAATTTGGACTTAATTTTTATGAAGGAGTGTAATAGTTGATGAATGTCAACGAAAAATAAACTTGGGTTTTGTCCTTAAAAATGCAGTATTTGTTCCTAATTGTATTATCATAACCCTAACAAATACCAAATTTATAAACAGTTTGCTGACATGTAGTTTTTCGTTGTACTTAAATTTACAACCGATAGGTTACATTCCTTGTTTATCATAATTTAATTGTAACCCACATATAAGAATCTGCTTTATCTTGCTTGGCTAAACCGTTTCTTGTAAGTTTTTGGCTCTTGATTATTCTTCTAAGTTCTTTTTCGCCGGTGTGTACTGTAATCTTCCGGGTGAGCGTAGTCCAGAATAGGACTGTTTCTGACATTGGCTGATGTTTCGTCAGCCTGTGCTGTAGCTATCTTCAGGATCAAAGAGTGTTTTATCTGGTCAGTACTCGAGGTGCCAAGGTTATTGGTCGTCTTTCAGTTAAGCCTTGGTGTTATTGGCTGCGAAGTGCTGCGTTAGTAGTAAAGCAGGAGTGTTTTTCGCAGTTGTGTAAGGTTCGATATAATGCTTGTGAGACGGAGTTTCTTGACACGTGGCTTGGATTTTGTCATTCACGAGTAATTTCTAAAATTTCCAAGCGAATAAGGAGGCATTTAGAAGAGGCCATTGTGGCCTCATTTTACTACTGCCAGAATCCTTCAGGGTTTGCAAGGTTGTTAGCGTCAAGGCATATAAAAGTGGTAAATGCCTCGCTTCCGGTTGACGTTCGTAGCTCAGAAACGTCTTTGCTTTAGCTCCCTAAAGTGATGTTTCTTGACACTCCTCTATTGATCTGCCAACCTATTGGCTTTATAAACAAAATGAACTAGCCATGACGCAGACACAGTCCTTTTCATTCAACTCAAGTGAGTTGCACAATGCCTGCTCGAGGCCCAAAGTGACACAGATGCACCCATTACAATGAAAAGCAAATGAAGAGTAAAGACAGAGCAATGAGGACAGAGTAGGCGACAATGTCATATTTCAATTGAAGTCGAAGATCTCGTAAATTGGTAGTAATTTCAGTGCACCTAGAGCGATTCCAACCAACCAAACCATTGTGGCGATAAATGCCCCCCAACCCGTCCAAGAAAAAACAGTGAAAGCATTTGCAGTAAATATGAAGAGCGATAAGACGCTGAAAACGACACGTAAATCGCCTTACTAATCGTATCAGACACAACACATTAAAATGAAGTTTGAGGTGTTTTACTTGCAGAGAAAAGTTAGCGCTTTGTAGACCCTCTAGAAAACTAGAATCTGCTGAATTGTTAACTGGGTATTGTTGAGCTGCGTTTTGCAGAAGCCAATTGCGATCCTCTCATTAAAGAAATACAAAGTATACGGACTGCTAAGGCCTGCAGCTAGTAATATCTATGATGAATAGAAGATGGATTATTACTTTAACCCGCTATGAATTGAGCCAAAAGAAAGGTAATAGATTAGGTCTTGGCTTTAATTAAGAATGATGAAAGCACACGATGTGTTTACAAGGATTGCACACAGATGACTCTGTCAGAAGTATATTAAAACTTTGAACTCAACTGTTAAAAAAAGTTAATTACGTTTATGTTAATTGCACATGCCTTGTTATACTAAATAAAGGAAAACGTTAAAAAGTACCTTCTGTCCTTCTCAGTCAAAAAAGGAAAAATTAAAAAAAACATTAGACGTTCAAATCTTTGTTTGTGGTGTTATCTTCGGCCCCATAATAATATCCTCAATTTACTACGTAACATAGGCATTCTTATACTGTAAATCAGTGGATTTGCGACGGAATTACACATATGAATTATAGTTAAAACATATTTCACAAATTCAGGAAACATTCCTGGAGAGAAATAAAGACAAGAAAATAAAACAAGACTTGGAACCCAAAAGGCAGCAGATGCTCCTGTCATAAGGACTAAAGTTTTGGAAAGTTTCTTGTGTTTTGCTCAACGATTTGTCGCTGATGTGTTGTTTCGATTGTAGGGTCACTGCGATTAAGTTTTTTTCGGATTGCTAGGTATGATGTGCACATCGTTGCTAGTGATAAGACGATTACGATTGAAAATGTGAGGGTATAGTGAGAAATCTCAAAGATACCGTAGCTAACCAGCCAGGTTAATGAATCCAAAGAAACACCTGCTAACCAAGCGGCGACGACACCGTAGATGAACGTCTTCGTGCTTGTTGTTCGATGAACAAGCGGCCAAATCAAAGCAAATGCACGTTCCAGAGAAATAAGAACCAGAAAGAACATCGATGTACTTAAAAATGTAACTTGAAATTGGATTACAAGATAATCATAAGTCATGACATTAAGTTTAGATTTTTTAATGTAACTAGGAAGTGCTAACGCCTTCAAATATGGTGTCATGTATGCGAATCCAACGAGAAGATCGGCTACGGCCAAATTGATCAGAAGTAAGTAAGTTCGTCTTAGTTTGTTTCGGTGAATCCAAAATACAGCTATGGTGAGAAAATTAGCAGCGAATACGATGAGAGATTGAAGAGTGGAAACACAAAGGGAAGCAATAGTTGCTGTTTGGTCTGACATTAGTATACTCCTTCTGTAGATTGAAGCCTTCGTTAACTTAGTGACGTTTTAGCTCCGTGCACTGTTTAACCGCACCCTGATAGCGAGAATCGAGCGAGAAGATTGTTCGTTATGCGAAAGCCTTAATTTGCTGTGATACAGATTGGTGGCACTAATACATCCACGATTGATGGTTTTCTGTCGTTAAATACCAAAATAACTGACAAGTAAAAATCCTGGAATATTTTGTCTTAAATCCTGATTTCTGATTGGCTGAAGCTCTCGCCATCACAGACAGTCATCCGGGACATACAGTTTCTTACAGGGCATAACCCTTTTCCCAGCATCGTCCTAATAAGGCAAACGTCTAATGGAAACTTAAGTCGACTTGTATATGTAATTACGTTATTTTCATGTTTATTGCTATTTGTGAATCTTTTTTATTCTTCGTAATCACAATTTGTGCGCTTTTACTGAACGTTCAGTTGTTGAATTTTGTATCTTTTAATCTTTTTTGTACGAATGTATTTTTTTTATGAAATAGATATTACATCTGAGGTAGTTAATAGTTTTAACTTAGGTATCGTTTAGGTTTTAAGGTAGGTTTGTCATATATCACGTGATTGTAAGCTCTTATACCTACTTACTTACTTACCTACTTACTTACTACCTACTATATATCCTTGACATCAATGCAGTGTCTTAAAACACCACAAGACTTCTGAGCTAGCTGTTCTGACCGATCGCAGCTCTCCTCACCGGCATTTTCGAGCGAAATCTTTCTTCCATTACACCGCCTGTTTGCCGATCAACAAGTAAAATTTCACATCTTGGACGAACTTGGAACCGTAAACATCCTCCTAGTCCCACCATGACTCCAGTGCAATTACTAAACCTTTCAACCAAGTAGGAAACAGTAGTGTTCATTCACAGTCGTATGTTATCTGTGGAAGTAAAGTGAATGAGCCACTAGCAAAGGGTACAATAACACCAGGGGAAAATAGCAGGTTTTAATTTTTTAAAGGCTTGTTAATTATTATTTACAAATAGAATTCGTAGGATCGTTATTTATCTAGTTACAACTGGCAACTATGGAAAATTCAAAACCAGTTTTGTGATGAGGATGTGGAGCTTTTTAGAGAAACTTGTCTCGGTAACTTAAGATTTATTCAACTAATTAATTTGACTAAGCGAATTAGATTTTCTCCCTAATCGTGTAACTTTTTGATGGCCTGCAAATCCTCAACTTATTTGCGAGTTGCGTTAAAGTCTTCTTAAACACTGCTATTCTAAAGCTGTAAATTATTGAGTTCACGAGAGAATTTGTAGCATGTAGGAAATTGGTAAGGTAATCCATAAACCCAAGAAGCAAACCGAGCCACAAGTTATTGATGTTGTACAATGTCATGATTGGAGCCCACAAAGTAACAGATGCGCCTATCACAATAAAGAAAGTCTTGGAGTATTTTGCACTTTGTTCCACACGCTTTCTACAGTCTGCTTCATCGATAGCAGGATTTCTGTCGTAAAGTCTTTTACGGATTAAGAGATACGACGAGCAAATTACAAATAAAGATAAAAAAGTGATGATAGAGTGGGCGAATAAATATTGTCGAACGTCTATGACACCATTCGTGGTTGAGAAATTAAGTGCACCTAGACTCAATCCAGCTAATCATATAATAGCCACGCTGTAGATATAAACCTTGGTGCTTGTTACTCGATGTCGAAGCGGCCAAATCAAGGCGAAGGCTCTCTCCACTGAAACGAGTACAAGAAAAAAACTAACCCTATGGCTGCGTATTGAACGAAAGACAGTAGATTGTCTATAGATATTAATTACGGTCGCCAAAGCAAGCAGGGCAGCAAGTGATAATGTCACTTTTCCGTCACCAATGAGTTATAGATGGGTATGGTCCAATTAAAAAGTAGTCAGAAGTTCATTTTAGTTTGCTTAACACAACTTTATATTGCATGTAGAGAATTTGTAGCGAATATGATTACTGTGATAATATACCGGGTCGAGGGAGGACATCCATAGTGCTGCAACAACAGATTGTTTTGTTTGACTATATTCCTATAACTATGCTGTGGATAGTAACATTCGTCAATTTGAATCTAATGTAAGTGATTTTCGATGTACAGTTCAGTGGGTGAGTTATCGAATATTTATTAAAGCGGATTGATGAATCCACGTGTGATTAATATATATTTGATTTCATAATGTCTTTGAACATTCAGTATATCTTTTACGGTACATGCGGCATATTCTAAAAAAAAATTAAATGATTAGAGAGTAGCTGCATAAGACACATTTCAGAGTATTTTGTTGGAAATACCATATTGTGCCCTCGGGCTGGCGCTAAAAGTCAGCTCGAAGTCGACAAATGTGTTTCATACCAATGTAAACTTGCTGCAAATCGGCAGAGTGTTTTTCCTAAATTTGCATGAAATTGAGGATTAGAAGATTTTTTACTGAGACTTGATCAACTAAAATACAGGTTGTTGAGGTGTAAAAGCTAAAAGCTCCCTGTTAAAACGTGTCGAACATTTTAACTAAATGTATAACTCCTTGATCGCTTAACAACTTTAAGCTTATTTCTCACTTGTTGTATGGTTTTTTTGAATACTGGTATTCTTAAGCTATAAATAATTGGATTGACAAGGGAATTGGTGATATGTGGCATTGCAAAAATGTGAATC